CACGCAGCAGCTGCTCTGCCCTCTGGGATACTCGGACGTGAGTTGGGGGCTGGGGGAGGCGGCGGGAGGGGCTGTTGGGTTGTGGGGGAGGGGGTGCTAGGGAGGGCTGTTCGGGCTGTGGGGGAGAGGGTGGCTAGGGGAGGGGTTGTCAGGTTGTGAGGAGGGACTTTTGGGGTTGTGGGGGAGGGTGGCTAAGGAGGGTTGTGGGGAGGGCTTGTTGTGAGAAAAGGACTTTTGGGTTGTGGTGGAGGGGGTGCTAGGGGAGAAGTTATAGTGTGGTTTTGAGGAAGGACTTTTGGGGTTGTGGAGTTCCGGGGATGAGGCTGTTGAGGTTCTGGGGGAGGGATTGTGAAGTTGTGGAGATTGAGAGGTTGTAAAAGAGGAATTGTAGGGGCTATAGGAGACGAATTGTAGAGGTTGTGGAGGAGAGGCTGTAAGAAAGGCAGTTGAGATTACAGGGGTTGTTGAGAAGGTTTTAAGGGGACGCGAGGTTGCAAGTGTTTGTAAGAATAGTTGGGGTAGAGTGTGTGTTTGTGTGAAATGTGTGTGGGGGGTGTGAGGGAGGGTGTGGGTGGACGGATAGGAGAGTGGGCGTGGGTGTGGCTGAGTAAATTGAGGTTGTAGGTGTGCGTGAGTGGGTTAACGAAGAAGGGGGGGGGTATGAGGGGTTGTGGCTCGGCTCTGGATGGGTTGTAGGGCACTGTGGTGGTAGAGGGTTGTGTGCGGATGGGTTTGTATGGGTGTTTGAGACAGTTTGCAAGTTGTGGGTTTTTAGCCTTTTAGGCTTGCGTGAATCAGGGCACGTGTGTTTGTGTCACTCTGTGTGTATGTGTTTCTGCGCGTTTGTTTGTGATAATCTGTCTGTTTATCTATTTGTCTTTCTATTTATTTTTCTTAAACATCATAATTACTCGGTGTATTTGCTCATAGACCATCCGCCATCCAGTCAGAGAACTGTCAACCTTCTTCGGATACATCTTACTTCTTTTTTTCTTTATCTCTCGTATTTTTCATTATCCTCTTCGCCTCCCTCTTTTTCCTCGTCCTTTTCTCTTTATCTCTATACCTTCTCTTTCTCATCCTCATCCTTTCCTCCTCTCCTGTTTTTCTCTTTCCCCCCCTCATCTCCATTCTCTTGTTCTCCCATATCCCCTGTCCTTTTGTACGTTTCCCTCGTTCTCTTTCTTTTCTTCCTTCTCCTCAGCCTCCCACGTCCTCCTCAGCCTCCCAATCCTCATCTTCTCGCTGACCCTCATCCGCCCCTCCCCCTCCCCCAGCTCTTCGGCGGCATAGCGAACGCAGCGATGATCCTGAGCGGCTTCGTGGGCTCCGCCATCACGGGCGTCACGGCGGACAGAACCAAGGCCTTCACGCCCATCACCAAGCTCTGCTACGGCGCCGCCACCATCTTCGCCATCGTCATGCTGGAGGTGAGTGGGTGGGTGGCGGTGGGTGGGCTAGGTGGGTGGCGGTGGGTGAGCTAGGTGAATGGGTTAGGTGGGTGGCGGTGGGTGGCGATAGGTGTCGGCGGGTTGGGTGGAATGGAGGGAGATAGAGATGTGGTTGGATGGAAAGAGAGAGATGGAAAGAAATGGATAGAAAGAAGTAGAAAGTAGGGGAAGAGGGATAGGTAGGCGTATCAACAAGAGAGAGAGGGAGAGAGAGAGAGAGAGAGAGAGAGAGAGAGAGAGAGAGAGAGAGAGAGAGAGAGAGAGAGAGAGAGAGAGAGAGAGAGAGAGGGGGGAGGGAGAAAGAGCAAGAGCAAGAGCAAGAGCAAGAGCAAGAGCAAGAGCAAGAGCAAGAGCAAGAGCAAGAGCAAGAGCAAGAGCAAGAGCAAGAGCAAGAGCAAGAGCAAGAGCAAGAAAGAAAGAGAAGAGAAAGAGAAAGAGAAAGAGAAAGAGAAAGAGAAAGAGAAAGAGAAGAGAGAGAAGAGAAAGAGAGAGAAGAGAGAGAGAGAGAGAGAGAGAGGAGAGAGAGAGAGAAGAGAGAGGAGAGAGAGAGATGAGAAAGAAATAAGAGGAAAAAGGGCCAGAGATGGATAAAATTTATCTGCCAGGAAATTTATTAAAAAGTGCATATGAATTTTACGAAACTATAATGAATTTTGCAACTGGATTTTGGATGATGGCAAGGGTACGTATTCTCTGAAAGCTTTAATCCCATCACTAATACCATTGCTATTCCTATTATCCTTTATAACCCTTCTCCCTCTTATTCGTACTGCTACTGTCATCCCAGATGTTCATGGTTCCCGGCCAACCCGAACTCGTGGCTACGTTCACGGGCCTCTTCGGGTTCTTCGGCGTTGGCGCCTACCCGATCGGCCTGGAGCTGGCTGTGGAGGCAACGTACCCCGTCGAAGAGTCGATCAGCACGGCTTTCATATTCATGTCTGGTAAGTCTATAGCAGGTTTCTGAGATTCAGCAAGGAGTGCGTATGTGTGTATTTATTTTATGTATATGTTTATCGAGGCAGCTATCGTCAAAGGCATGTGTACATGTATGCATACAGATTAACATCTAATCATATTTACCTGTCAGGTTATGGCAATCTACCTTCTATTTACATTCCAGTGTAGACGTAAAGGTACCCTCACCGTCACGATCATTATTATTGTCGATACTAAAAAAACTACATATATATACTAAATTACAACCACATACACCCCACGTCTGTAAAAAAAAACGAATAATAGGAAAGAAATATGCAAAAATAAACAAATCTACACTATCATTTCCCATACAATCGAAAAACGATGAAAAGTTTTCTTCCAGTGAAATCCTCTCCCATGTCTCAGGGCAGTTCCAAGGAGTCCTGATCATCGCACTGGTGACACTGCTGGGGCGGGAACAGAAGCCGCAGTTCGAGAACATCGAGACGTGTACAAAGAGAGGCAACGCTGATATAGAGCCTAAGGATTACACAGGTGAATGCTTATCTCCTTTTCCTGCTTTTGTTATTAATGTATTCCATATTTTTTATGGTCATCTCCATTTTATTATTATAGTAATTTTCAATAACAATTTTGCTATGACTTTAGGTGATGTCACTATTCACAGTTTTTTATTCCTTCCTTCCTGGCTGGATCACGAAGTGATAAGCAGCATTATGAAAAGTGAACGATTCGATTTTCTCTACCACACTTAGTTATATTTTATTTCCTTCATCATGCCCCTGCAGTATCCCTGATGGTGATTATGACTTACTTGGTTGTGGTTGTCTCCGTCATGATCCTCTTCTTTGAGACATCCTACAAGCGACTGGAAGCAGAACGTCTCACCCCGGATCCCACCGCTGCCGCCAGTAACACAACCGCTGGCTCCTCTTCCCCTTCTTCAAATCGCTCTCTCTCGCCTCGCTCATCTGCCTCGTCCTGCCACTCGCTCACCGAATCAGGGAAGGTGTTGCGGGCTGGGGGAAGAGGGGGGGGAGAGAGGAACATTGAAGAGGTGGTTCAAAACTGGAATGAATGTGAAGGACAGGATGGCATGGAAAGAAGCCGGTTGTGATTGTGGGTGTATTGTGTATACTCATTGATGATCTTTTCTCCTCATATTTATTTTCTATTTGCTTGCCTATCCTGAAGACAAAACTATAAGGTGATGAGCAGAGATTGTAAAAGAATAGCTTGAACAAAATGCTAAAATGAAAGAGTGATGCATTCCTTTTTTTAGCATCATGAGTTTTATATTTGAAATGACAATAACTGTGTAAGTAGAAATACATATTGTGCATTATACAGTATTGATTATTCCTATAATTAAATTGAATTTCTGACTTTCTTGCTTGTTAGCAAGTGATGAATTTCTGTTATGAAAATGTATGGTAGCAACAGGAATATAATACCATTATATGATTTTATTAGTGTTTGATATAAAGCCTGCACATTTAGCTTACCTCTTAATTATTACTTTCAGATAGCATGACATTCTTTCTGTGATTTTATTGGTTTTCCTTCTGGGTAATACATATGTATCAAGAATTCAATAGTGTTGGTTCCATAAACACAACATGCAAATCATGGGGTAAGAGAATGTCTATACCTTGGCAATTTCATATTTCTTGTTGGAAAGGGAGGGTAGGGGGCGGTTAGATGGGTAAAAATAGACGTTTGGAAATGGAGGGTGGGTGAGAAAGGGTTGGGAAGGGGAAGGGTGAGGGTTGTGGCAGAGGATAGGGAAATTGGGAGTTCTACACCTTGATCACATGATAAGTCCCTCTGGCTGGAATCTCTGGAGTTGTGTTGTAAGTTGTGCTAAATATAATGTCGGGATGAAGGGGGTGATCTGAGTGACCAGATGAGTTAATCTTACACTACTCGTAAGTCTGTTCTCCCTTCTTGATATCAAGAGGCACTGAGAAGGTATACAACTCAGCTGATTCATAGGGAGGAGCTGGCACGTGAGCTCTCCAGAGGACACCTGCGGGAAAGCAGCTATAGGGAAAAGATGTTCCCAATACCCGAAAATGGAAAGGTTCCCGGGTGATCAAATCCCGCCCCCTCCCCCAAATTTCGAACCCCTGGTAACTGATTAGAGATTAGGCATGAGGAAGATGACTTGGGCTTAGTACTCCAACTGTGGTGTCGGTCTTTGCCAGATTGATTGCTATGGAGAATTACTTGTTTACATCACACCCTCCTCTTATATGTAATTTACTGATGCTTTTTGGTGGACAGTAGGACTGACATTTCTATCATTCTTTAATTTCCTTGTTACAGTTTCAATAGATTGGATGTATGTGATCAGTAAAGTTGGCTGTGCACAAGGCTAACAGATGTATGAAATTCTGTTCTGACTTGAGTTGCCACTCTGGCGCTATTCTCCTTGAGCTAAGAACTCGCTCTTCATGCGCACCCGGAGGCAATAGCTCCAGTATTCCCATTATTAGGGTGCTGTATCCTGTTGATTCGAAAATGGAAAATAATTACTGAATAGTATGTACCACTATTAACAACAGAAATTTGAATAAACTTGAATAAAGTACAGTTACAAGCAGA